CCTCTGATGCTGCATGGCCTGCTGTGTTCCTCCAGCTCCACACTGTGTTATCTCTGATTCCAGCATCTGCAGTTCTTACCATCTCCAAAGGAATCTTGATTCTACCTTACTTTCCAGAATATTCAAGGGATTGGTTTTTGTTTATCAGCACATAAAAACTTAATATGTTAATGGTCCAATAGATGCCTACAGTGAAGATGAGGTGCTGTTCTACTTTTTTAAAATTCGTGGATATGCAGCCAACTAGAAGAAATCACTGGGTAGCAGCAGAGTTGAGACGATTTTGCTGGTCTGCTTTTATATTAATGAGCTTGTACTGCATGTTTGCTCACGGCTTCAGTACAACATATTGGACTACAGCACTGTTTGGTTATTTACCTTAACTTCTTCTTCCACCGCATATTGTTCTGTAACAATTGAAGAAAAGTTGTACTGGACTCGAAACATTAACTCTGTTTTACTCCACAGATACTGCCAGACCTGCTGAGTTCTTCAGCATTCTCTGTGTTTGTTTCAGATTTCCAGCATTTACAGTATTTTATATATATTGTTCTGCATCTTGAGTAATAAATTAGAAATCATGAAATGTATTCTTCAAACATTCAATTAATTTGTGTAAATTAATACTTTCAGAAGAAGAGGTGGTTTGGGAAAGAAAATTCATATTCTAAGTTATAACATAAACCATCTCCATTTCACAACCTAGCCTAGCAGGTAACATTTTAGCCTCAAATGAAAATGTTGTAGTTTTTGCCCCATTCCAAAGACTTGAGCATACAATTTAAGTTTGCACTTCATACAGTCTTGAGCTGTGCTATTCGAGATGCCATCTTTTCTTGGTGTACATGTGGAACTGTGCTGTTTAAAAAAGTTAGATTCTCAAAAAATTTCTTTTTTTTGTGCAACAGGAAATTGCGTCAGTTGCTAATTGAGGATTACTTGATTACTAATTTATTGTAGACAATTTAAATCAAACAAACACAATAAACTCAGAGTAAATTTTAGCTGTCCTCAGTAGCCAATGGAGCTAGAGAAACTACATTCAGATCACAGACTGGCACTGATCTGAAAGCATAATGAACATGGTCAAGGCCCTGTACTCTTCTGAGTTGAAGCTCATATAGAACTTCAAACTCTGAGAACATAAGAACTAGGATCTGAAAGCATAATGAACATGGTCAAGGCCCTGTACTCTTCTGAGTTGAAGCTCATATAGAACTTCAAACTCTGAGAACATAAGAACATAAGAACTAGGAGCAGGAGTAGGCCATCTGGCCCCTCGAGCCTGCCCTGCCATTTAATAAGATCATGGCTGATCTTTTTGAGACTCAGCTCCACTTACCCGCCCACTCACATAACCCTTAATTCCGTTACTGTTCAAAAATTTATCTAGCCTTGCTTTAAAAACATTCAGTGAGGTAGCTTCAACCGCTTCACTGGACAGGGAATTCCACAGATTCACAACCCTTTGGGTGAAGAAGTTCCTCCTGACCTCAGTCCTACATCTGCTTCCCTTTATTTTGAGGCAATGCCCTCTAGTCCTAGTTTCACCTGCTAGCGGAAACAACCTCCCTGCCTCCACCTTATCTATTCCCTTCATAATCTTATATGTTTCTATAAGATCTCCCCTCATTCTTCTGAATTCCAATGAGTATAATCCCAGTCTACTCAGTCTCTCCTCATAATCCAACCCTCTCAACTCTGGAATCAACCGAGTGAATCTCCTCTGCACCCCCTCCAGTGCTAGTATATCTCTTCTCAAGTAAGGAGACCAAAACTGCACACAGTACTCCAGGTGTGGCCTCACCAGGACTCTATACAGCTGCAGCATAGCCTCCCTGTTTTTAAACTCCATCCTTCTAGCAATGGCAGACAAAATTCCATTTGCCTTTTTAATTACCTCCTGCACGTGCAATCCTATTTTTAGCGATTCATGCACAAGGACACCCAAGTCCCTCTGCACAGCAGCGTGCTGCAATTTTTTACCATTTAAAACATAGTCCATTTTCCTGTCTTTCCTACCAAAATGGATGACCTCACACTTATCAACATTGTACTCCATCTGCCAGACCTTTGCCCATTCACTTCGACTATCTATATCCCTCTGCAGACTTTCAGTGTCTTCTGCACACTTTGCTCTACCACTCACCTTAGTGTCATCTGCAAATTTTGACACACCACACTTAGTCCCCAACTCCAAATCATCTATGTAAAAGTTGAATCAAAAAAAGCCCACTTAGCCAAACCTAATAACGTTTTGAATTTAAATTTCTCATCGATGTTTTAAAATGCATCCACAGCCTTCCACTTTCCTATTTCAGTAGCTTCCTCCAGCGCTACTATCCTCCGAAGTCTCTGCATTCCTTCAATCTGGACATCTTATGTACCCCCATTTTCTTTTATCCTTGTGTGCAGCTTTTAGGCCTAAACTCCAGAGTGGTATAAAATGATTAATTTATAAACAGTGATCTCACCAGCTCCTGCTTGTGTCAATTAAACTTTGCCTAATATATAATGGAGTTCCATATTACACTGAAATAAGAGCTGAAAGTTTTAATAATATTGTCATACACTCTAGTTAGATTTGTTATGCCTTGTCTGTTGAAAACACTATTGGTACTACCACTAATCATGTACAACACATTGACCCGGTCTTTGTTGGAATTTAATTGAGGCCTGAACCAGTACAGTATTTGCTAAACTCTTGGTGCCAGTTTATCCAACACACAGTCTAGTAAGGACTACTGAAGTATTCTTAAGGGTCTAGTCAAGGCAAGGCTTTGTCCCTCATTGGTGGATTTGCTTTGTGGGCAATGGTAGCCAAAATACTTATTTTTCTTTCTTGCTCTTTTCGGCATTGTATAGGTTGCTCTCTAGTGCAGTTATTCCTATCTGGAAAGATTTCTGATCTATAGCAACTTATAATGCACTGTTCAGATTTATTTGCTTGTTGCTCACCATATTCCTTGCTTTGGACTTTCTCTTGCTGTACTTAATCTTTCCTTCTCTGTAGTTTGGAACCTAAGTGGGCCTTGAAGTCTGTCATCACTGTTCTCTTGCACCACTGAATTTCTCTCTGGCATTCCCCTCATTTCAGGGTTTGGATAACTGGGCTGGCCTCATCCTTCACCCATAGCATCGTGGTGTCTCTACACTTCAGGCACTCCTTGTTGCTTACCTCTCATTCTATAGGTCTTGTCACTATCTTCATAGTAAAATAAGTTATACACTGACAATAAACCCAACATGTAATTGGGATAAAAAGACAAGACAGCTTTTGAAACCTTACAGATAAAGGTTACATTTCTATATGATCTGACATTGCTATGATACAGCTCTTATGCACATGCTCAGTAGCTATTCTGAGAGTGAAAGTTTAATTAACTTTTCTGAAGAAGGATCACTGGACCTGAAATGTTAACTCTGCTTTTTCTCAACATGTGCAGCTAGACTGCTGAGTTTTTCCCAACAACTTCTGTTTTTGTTTCTAATTAACCCCTTACTCTGCAATAACCATTTAAAATCCTGCACAATCAAGTGACTAAAAACATAACCGTTAAGGCTGCAATTGAGGAGAATAAAATGGTTAACCTGAAATTAAATAAAGCAGAAGTGATTTATATGCTTTCCAATTTCCAGTACAGTTGATTCTTGATCATCTATACAACACAAACCACCCTCTGATGGCTGAAAGCAAGGGTTGAAACTTATGGACTTCCAAATTAGGAGCTATAAGACCTTTGTGTCTCATGTGCCTCCACTTTTCCACCTATGTGGGCAGCACTGTCTTTGTTAGTGAGGTCAGATAGAAAATAAAGATTTTGTACCTCTCCTTTTTGATCCCCAATTGGTCCCATATTCCTTTGACTACTATTCACATAGCAATATGTTTATATGAAATATGAAAAATATAGAAACCTTTTGGGTTCCCTTTTATGTTAGCTGCTCACCTATTTTCATAGTTTGGCTTTGTCCCAACTACTCCCTTTTTTAGACTACTTCTTATTCAGCTTGGTTCTCTATTGTATTAAGAGCATTACAATTGCCATAAGCCTCTTTGTCCTCTGTCTCAATTTAACCTCTAAACCTTTAGTCATCCAGGGAATATTTGGATGTCCTTCTTTTCCACAGATGGGAAAGCCTCTACTCAGTAATTTAAACATCATCTCTATGAAGGCCAACATTTTTCAATCATTGTTTTGCCCACAAATTTTCATTAATCTACCTAGATTGAAAAAATTGTCCCCTTTCTATTTCTCTACTTGATCATGTGCTTTTTTCCATAACTATATTCTGAACTTGGTGATATCACAGTCATTTTGTGATATTTGTGTTGAATACTGATTTGGGCTGAATCCATAGGCAGTAAATTAGTTATCTGGTGTTTGGAGCCAAAACGATTTGGGAAACCAGGTGATGAAAGAGCTAACATCCAGGTTTGTATC